TAAAATAAACTAGCTTTGAGTTTTAGTGACTAACTCTTGTTTTCCCCTCTCTCCTCGTTTTTTTCTCTCGCTATGTTTTTTTAGAATAGTTGACATTTTTACTTATCGAAGATTGTTCTTTGCATGACCGTTTCTAGATTACACCAGAATGAAGTGAAGAGAGGTGAATGCAGACATTAGGCGCAGCGATCACCTGATAGATAGGCTACGTGCACAGTTCGTTCAAAAGTAAAATATATAATAAATGCATTTGATTGGTAAACCCAATTCAAATGTGACGTTTTAATCTCTAATGGTAATGCATGGAATTTACGGAAAACTCCACTAAATAATAGCGCTAAAAAGTGAGGGGCGTGGTGGGGCTTTGGCAATCGGCGCTACCGATATCCGTCAATCTACTCCACAGCCTATCACGGGCCCCCTCCTTGCTTGGGCCCCGGGGCTTCAGCCCCGCCTAGCCCAATGGTTAATGCGGCCCTGGTTACAGCCTTTAGTCTGTTGGGATATGTCTTTACTGACTTTGCACATATAGACTTTGCAATATTTGCCCACTCTTCTTTGCAGAACTGATCAAGTTCCATTGAATTTGATGGTGACCATTTGTGGACTGCAGTCTTCAAGTCATTCAGCCCTCCCATACAAGCCACATTTGTGGAGAATTTGTGATATTGTTGTCACATGCATACAATGACCACTCTTTGTCATAAATTCCTGCAACTGCTTCAGGGTCGCTGTAGACCTCTTTGTAGCCTCTCTGACCAGTTTCCTCCTGGCTCTTTCTTCGAATTTGGAGCGACGTCCTGATCCAAGGAGGATCTGTGTTGTACCAAATACCTTCCACTTCTTAATAATAGACTTCACTGTGCTTCTTAGCATTGATAAAGCTTTGACATTTTTTTTTTTGTATCCATCTACTGACTTGTGCCTGTCCACAACTTAATCCCGGAGATCTTTTGACAGTGCCACAGCTGATAAAACAAAAACTGTCTCTGTCTTCATTTCAGGCTGTAAAGCAACAAAATTAGATTATTTTAAAGGGGGGTGATTCTCTTCTGTTCATACTGTATTTTAAATAATATTTTTCATATAGCTTTTTGCATAAACAGCATTGTGTACAACTTAATTTTTAGTCTAAAAACATTGGGTTAAAATTTGAATTTAAAAAATCAACACAAATTCCATGTTTTCCTAGAATTTAGTTGAATTAGGGTTTTTATATTAATAATTTCAAATATTCAATGTGGTCTCAGAAAACTAGAGCTAAAGTTACAAGTCAGGCATATATGTGGATGATAAATATGAGCAAAGTTTGTATACTGTGCCACGGTTCCCACTTTCCATTTTTGTTTCTTTATGCTAAGAAAGACTGGATGTCTCTGTTGTGCTTAGGCTAAGATCTTAAGTATAGAAATATTTTATCCAAAAACCTTTGCCAAGGGTGATCGCAACACCCTCCATCTTATACTGACTCAAAAGGGGATACACTGGACAAGGCCATATGCTGGAGGCATGCTGTCTTGCTCCCTCGATTCTCTCTATTGTGCCCTCCACATTAAAACCCATAAACTCTTCATTTCAGATGGGAGAAAACGGAAAACAGTAGGAAGACAAAAAGTACCAAGGCATCCGTTGGAGACAAAGAACATCTGCAGTACCTCTGCTCAATCAATGCGCAAGACCGTTACATCCACAGGAACTGGGAGCAAAGAGGAAATCAGTGCACCCATAATTCTGACCGCTGCCGTGCTTGTAGACACGCACATAAAGCCCAGGGTAAAGATGAAGGAATCAATGCAAACAGAAGGTTAGTTTTTTTTTTTTTATGCACTGTAATGGACTGTGGTCAGTGTTTAGAGGTTCTCATTTTAATGTACAGAATTTTTTTTTAACTGAATTAAACATTGTTTTGATGCTTTTTGACGTTGTAAATACAGCTGAATAAAACAAAAACTGTGTCTGTCTTCATGTCAGGCTGCAAAGCAACAAAATTAGATTATTTTAAAGGGGGGTGATTCTCTTCTGTTCATACTGTATTTTAAATAATATTTTTCATATAGCTTTTTGCATAAACAGCATTGTGTACAACTTAATTTTTAGTCTAAAAACATTGGGTTAAAATTTGAATTTAAAAAATCAACACAAATTCCATGTTTTCCTAGAATTTAGTTGAATTAGGGTTTTTATATTAATAATTTCAAATATTCAATGTGGTCTCAGAAAACTAGAGCTAAAGTTACAAGTCAGGCATATATGTGGATGATAAATATGAGCAAAGTTTGTATACTGTGCCACGGTTCCCACTTTCCATTTTTGTTTCTTTATGCTAAGAAAGACTGGATGTCTCTGTTGTGCTTAGGCTAAGATCTTAAGTATAGAAATATTTTATCCAAAAACCTTTGCCAAGGGTGATCGCAACACCCTCCATCTTATACTGACTCAAAAGGGGATACACTGGACAAGGCCATATGCTGGAGGCATGCTGTCTTGCTCCCTCGATTCTCTCTATTGTGCCCTCCACATTAAAACCCATAAACTCTTCATTTCAGATGGGAGAAAACGGAAAACAGTAGGAAGACAAAAAGTACCAAGGCATCCGTTGGAGACAAAGAACATCTGCAGTACCTCTGCTCAATCAATGCGCAAGACCGTTACATCCACAGGAACTGGGAGCAAAGAGGAAATCAGTGCACCCATAATTCTGACCGCTGCCGTGCTTGTAGACACGCACATAAAGCCCAGGGTAAAGATGAAGGAATCAATGCAAACAGAAGGTTAGTTTTTTTTTTTTTATGCACTGTAATGGACTGTGGTCAGTGTTTAGAGGTAGTAGCTGGACTTCATGTTTTATGGGACATGTTTTATGGGACACTCCTCATGACAGAGAGGAGTGCAGGCAGGGTTCAGGACGCCCACAGTCTAAACATTTAATGTGTTCAAATAGCAGCGGTCATTATTTTTAAATGTTGAATTTCATAAAGTATTATTCCATAAAACTTTTAATAAAAAAAAAAAATGTAATAATAAAAATGTTTAATTTATGTTTTTGATGGGCGATCTAGCAATTGTCTTGGACTTAAAATGAGACCTAGTGGCATGGATGCCGCATTACACAAATAAAAGTTTTCAGTTATCGTTGTGATAATGCTCTATTCACAATTGTCTCATTTATTATGTGAGTAAATGTGTCAGATAACAGGTTAATGAGGTTATGCAGTGGTATTTGGCTGGCCATATGATCTCAACATTGCAGCCACACGTTAAGTGATCTGCTCCATGAATAATAAAACTGCTTTTATGTTAGTGTAAGTCATTTCTTCATGTGTAAAATTTAAATGAGAAAATTAATCACAGAATGCACCTTTAAGCTCATCAGTTAAATTAAATGTGAATTCTGGGATTGGTGTCAGAACCTACCTTGAAAAGACTGAAACAAAATTAAATCTAATCTGATATGGTCAAATAGGGCTGACGTAAATATAGCTAATTCAGTAAGCTTCATTTGAATCATTGTTTCATAAAGAGGAGAGGTTGATGCTTTTGTTAACTCAGGAAGCTATTTGAGTTGCATTAATCTGAAAGTGAGTGTTTTATTTATTTATATACAGTGGGTACGGAAAGTATTCAGACCCCCTTAAATTTTTCACTCTTTGTTATATTGCAGCCATTTGCTAAAATCATTTAAGTTA